GTGGTGGTGGTGGTGGTGGTGGGAGAAGCAGCAGCAGCCGTCGCCCACCCGTCTTGACCTTGCCGGAGGCCGTGGTGTTGGTGGCAATGGCAGTAACCGCACACGGTGAGTTCCGGCGGTGGTGGTTGTAGGATACTGACGCAAGCAGCTCGTTCGATGGAGGCGCCATGCAGGACTGCTACTTCGTTTGGTCATCGCGGCCTAGCTGAGAAAAAAGCGTAGACATGATGACAGCGCGCAGTGCCTAGGAATGCCAGCCGTCGCCACAGGTACACCACCGCATGAGCCTGGGACAGCATAGGTCTAAAGGCCGGGTTTCTTAAGTCTTTCTCGTGCTAGCAGCACGCAAGAATTCAAACCGGCATGTACCCTGAAATCTTGAAGCTCCAAACTTTGTGCGAATCCAGGTGGTTGGGCTATGCCGAGATGTCGACAACAAAAGCGAATTCAGCTCTGCTGCGGTGGCATGTACGTTTTCCGGGTGCTTTCTGCCACAGCCGTCGCCGTGGCTCCTCGCTGCCCCACTGCCCCACCATCAAAGCCTAAAGCATGCTTTCATGCGCAGGTTACTTTCCGACACAACCCCAACTGCGCTCGGGACCCGAAACGGAGACTCTTTTCTGTGCGGCCTGTGGTTGACCTTTGCAGACACTACTTTTGCTGTAACCTTTACATTTACCATGGTCCTGAAGATGCACTGTTAGCAGCCGCTTTCGCTACCTACTTGTTTCTCCACGGCTTTCGTGACCCAGTTCTGTTCTCGATGCCAAGAGAAGTGAATGAACTCCCAAGTTCCTATCTTTAGCTGAGCACCCGCGGCTCTCACAAACTGCAAAAAAACTTAAGCCTCTCACTCTAGGTTCTAGATCCCAAGCCCAAAAAAATGGAATCCGTTTCATGCGAGCTCCTGGAGCATCCCAGGCAAGCTGCTGTACAATGTCGATCCTTCAGAAGGGGCTTAACATGCTTCGAGCTTTTACCTTCAGCTGGGCCTTTCCAGTTCAGATATTGAGAGTTCATGGATCTTTTGAGGGGTGGGTGCACAGTGTAAGTTTTAACATGTTCACAGGGTCAACCTTAAAGCCTGATAACCTTCAGCGTGCAGCCCAACCGACTTCAACTATCGTCGTCGCTTCACCTAATAATTATTAATGGTCGTGCTTGGCACGTGTGGCTAGCTCGGTCATCGCATCGACGTCCCGGATCTTTATAAGAGCCGCTTCTTCCATGGCCGAAGCTGCTGTCTGTAGAAGCTTCTCAACTTCGCAGGAACGAGCTCTTCCTTCGAGAGCAATTTTCAAAATTTGTCTTTTTTGCACGGAGGGCAACTTAAGCCCGAAACGAAACGGCCTGGCCCTGAACTCCGAACCCAAACCCTCAATGCTGAATCGTAAAACAGGCACGCAACGGACGTGAGAGATGAATTAGATCAAACTCGCCAAAACAAGCCATGGTGCCACACAACAGCTTGACTGGCCAGACACAGATTCATTGCCAGCTCAAAACAAAAAAGTGAGAGCATGAACGGGAGGAGCAACTCCAATTTATCGCTTCCCATGAATCCCCCACCGCATGTTTGTGAGTCCACAATGATTCTGATACTCAACAGGCCCAGCTGTTCAGCCTGTGGCAAAGCTCCGCAGCGTAAGCGCGAACATAACCTTCCGGCAGGGCCGTTTTCGCAATTCCGATCGCAACGCTGGCGGCTGCTATCCTGAACCGAGTCAACAACAACAACAAATACCCCTCGAACAGGTGGACAAACCTGCAAAACCCTGGTCGAATATAATAGTTCTCAGGGCAAAACTACTTCTTTCGGTCTTTCTGAATTCATGATTTCCTGATCGACTCGGGTGGAGGTCCTACGACGTGAAGTGGCACGACGGGTCTCATAGCACAGCAAAAAGACGAGTCATGGGTATCCTGTTAGACTCCCGAAAAAGGATCTCCCAAGCTTTGGGAAACAGACCCGTCATCGAAACCTCCGTACCACAACAAGGAGACAACCCCGATTCTTGCCAGGGAGCGATCGGGATCTTTGGGCTTCACTGCTTGGGCGGTTGCCCGGAGAGCCTCCAAGCAGTCCTAGCAGAGAGGAAACTCGAGAATATGACTGGGAAACCCTATATGACGGGTTTTGGGTGTCTCCCTCCTGCACTGCAACAACCAGCGAAATCCTCAGTTCAATGGTTTTTTTTTGGGGGGGGGGGACAGGTTAGGGTGTGGTATCGACATGATGATGACATATTCAAAAGCTCTGATGGTAGTGGCGATCATGCAAGTGAGTGTAACTGTAACTAGGGCTGCTTTTCAGTATTCGTATGGTTCCTTTGTGGTGAGCCTGCTACATAAGTCAAAGTATAACCCTCTTTCGAGAGCTGCAGAAATTTCAAGGGATCCCGGCATAAATCCTGAAAGTCCAGGACACGGAGTCTATAAGGACCCATAGACCCCCGAAAATCCTCGCAAGAAACCCGACGAAAGAAGCGCAAACCGACTGAAACCCTTGCAAAACCAGTGCAAAACTCTGTAATTCAAAACCTGTGAAAGCCGTGTCAGACCCTTGTAAACCCCATGCAACCATGTAGAACCCAATTCAGCCCGTCAAGTATAAGCCCGGGTCAGCGCATCTCCTGCTCCAGCGCCCCGGAAGTGAGCAGCCGCAGCAGGGCATGCAGCGCAGTGGCGCGGACAGCGCCGACCTTGGCTAAACCACATCAGTGGGCTGGTAGTAGTTTTGACCGGACAGCAATCGCAGCTGGGCTGAAGAGTGCAAGCTTTTACTGCTTAGGGACGTTCTTCTGTAATTGTGTCCATACCAGCTCCGTGATCCATGCCAGGCTGTTGGGAAGAACGGAGCCGTTCAGGGATTCCTGCGGGGGAGCTAAGAAACCGTGATTTCTGTTCTTCAAAGAGTTTTTTCTTCGCGATGGACACGTCCAAAAAAAATGGATTTCACAGCATCCAAGGCCTCATGGCGATATATACATATATATATATATATATATATACATACATATACATACATATGTATACCTATGTATCCCCACGCACAGATACACATAAATAAATAAATTATGTATATGTATAGGTATACAGAGAGGAGTCAAAGTCTGCGTGTGTGCTATGTATATATAATGTACGTTTGTGCCTGCTGGTTGCCTGCTCTCAACTAATGTGTCATTCCGCTGCAAAGGCCCAGACAATAGGGGGGCCTGACGGTCAGGGGCAATCGTTCCCAATGCACTGGAGAAGAAGACAGGTGTCTGTCTGTCTACATACATACACACATACATACACACGCATGTACGTACACCCATACATACGTACGTACATAACATACATACATAGATACATATGTACATACATACATACATACATACATACATACATACATACATACATACATACAGACATACAGACATACAGACATACAGACATACAGACATACAAACATACAGACATACAGACATACAGACAAACATACATAGATACATACGTACACACACATACACACACTCATGCATGCATGCACACATACATGCATTCATTCATTCATTCATTCATTCATTCATTCATTCATTCATACATACATACATACATACATACATAACATACATATATATATATAGAGAGAGAGAGAGACATGTGTGCATATTTTCGGTACTGGGACAGAGAAATTACCAAGAGTGAACACGAAGTAGGCTTTCTGCTTAGCTCTATTTTTCCAGCACAGGCTTTGGGTTTATGCCGGAAGCAGGTACGACATATAACGAAAGCATGCATCATATACAACCCTTCACTGCTTGGATGGGGAAGCGGCCAACAGTAGATTCACAGGCCTTCGTGTTTGAAACGCCGGCAGCAATCCTGTTGCCAAGCTACGGGCTTCATAACCAGCGGGATGGAGATGTACATATACATGTACATGTACATACACATACGCATACATACATACATACATACATACATACATACATACATACGTACATACATACATACATGTTTAGCAACTCGCGCTCGAGGTCAGGCGAGGTTTGTGGCGGTGCAAAGAGTTTCCACACATACATACATACATACATACATACATACATACATACATACATACATACATACATGGTTATACAAGTGGTAGTGAAGTCTCGACCGATGTGAGGTCTCCTGCATCTGCATTAAAAAAAGGCAGGCGGCGGGATCCTCGGCCACTGCGCGCTGCAGCGGCCAAGCGCTATCCTGCCCAAAGCCACTCTTCCCGAACGTTGACCCTCCTGTGCCTCAAAAGATCTTGCCACTTATGGACGCAGGTTTAGGCATGACAGCAGCTTCCCTCACTCTCACTACGAGCCCGGAACCCCGCACTGAAAGCCTGCCCGAACCTCATGACTCACTTGAGGTGCTCTTGGAAATGAGGGTTCTCAGCTGAGGCATCTCGTTCTAATTCTTTCATCAGTATACAGGCTGCTTTAAACAACATCATACGCACGAGACCCTATGCCTAAGCTTTCTGCTTATGTACATTGGGCATATATACATATACTATTGTTTTAGCACTCGCGCTCGCCATGGTCACGCGAGGTTTGGGGCAGCAACGAGAACATCCAAGACTCATCACGAGCCAAAACAATGCCGTTCGAGCTAGCGGTTCCAGTGTTCGGAGCCCCCGCATCAGTTCACAAAATTATCCAATATTCCATACATCCAGCAGTTTTCTAGACATCACGTCCCAGCTGCAGGCACGGCATCAGCTCATCACTAGGTTAGAGAGATGGAAAAGCCACATCAAAACGAGACCGAAGCCTGAAAGCTTTTGGCTGCTTGCTGGGCGCGAGTCAATGGCACATCGTGTCTGTACAAATGATCATTCAAAAAAGCTGCATAGCATGACCGGCCGTTTGTACAGGTCACGCATCCCGGGATATGCAACAAAAAATACCCGGAGGACCCCGTCGAAGCGTGTAGCTTCAAAAAACACTTGAAGGTTGCAAATAGCTTGGGGCTGTATTCAGCCCAAGCCATGCCGCGAGCCATCCCCGATGATTAGACGGATGGGGCGGACTCTGCCTGAAAGACTGTGAAACGACGGCTGCCGGCCCGCTCAAATTTCCCCACGAGATATGCTCAAAGGCTTGTAGCACAATCATGCAAAAGACATCGCGAGACTCTGAAAACGCCGTCATGGGGCTGGCTGGACGATCGATCATCTACATATGAATGTGACTTTCGATCCGCACTCTGATAGCCACCCGATACAGAAAGCGGTTTGCAACTGACGACCGATGGCATGCTCGAGCGGGGTGCACATGATGGCATTAGATGCATGGAACTCCCGATGCTGCTTATTTCCCGTACGAGGAGAAGCCATCGCTTGACTAATGTCGTTGGTCGGTCAGCAAGGCTGCAAGAAGTGAAAAAGCCTTCTCTTTACAAAGTCTATGCTTGTCAGGGAACTGTTGGCAGATTCCTTCTGGGTGGAAGCGTCTGCTTCATCCTCGGAACAGACAGCGCCGCCAACGAATGCCAAGATGTGCCAGATCACCGAGGGTGCCATGCCTCGCTGGCGGCAGTAGTAAGAAAACATCATCTGACCGCGCGCCAAAGACCTGCGATGCAGCCAACTTCGCCTGACGGCATAGGCCAAGCTTAAGGCGCTGATGCAACCCTCCGTTGTTTCTAGGCGACAGAAGAGCCGCTCGAAGGCCTCCAGGGAAGTGTGCCGGCTGGTCGATGTGGGCCGCGCGAACGCATCGAGGAACCTGCTTCTCAAGTGAAGCTGCCGTTTGCAAAGGTCTACCTCGGCCTGCTTCAACGGCTGCAAGCCCTCCTTCTTGTGAAAGAAGCAGAGCAGTACACGCAGAATCGTGCCCTCCACCACAGACAGCGCCATGCAATATCCCATTGGTCCATTTAGCTCTGCACCTTCCAATGCCAGTCGAACAAAGGCCATGAGGCACCAGAGATGATGAACGCAGCAAGTCGTATCGGTAGAGCTGTCCATCAAGGGCACCCAGAGCAAGTAGTAGCAACTTATGATCACAGCAAGACCTTCTGCCACCAGCTGGACTTGCCCAAAGAACAGCACTGGACAGAGGTAGCAAGCCAGTATCAAGGAGCTTAAGAGTTTGAAGAGCCCTCCACTGACTTTTGGATCTTCTAGGACGTATAGGTTGGCCTCTGTGACTCGGTCCATGGAGTACCAGCCAACCAGGCCCGCTAGCAACATGCACAGCTCTCTGGCCCCTGCCACTGCCACAGATGGCAGCAGCGCAAAGCTTGCATCATCTACCACATATTGCATGTACAGCAACTTCGGGAGGAACGAGATAACACCGTAGTGCAGGTATATAATGCGGCTCCGATGGCGAAAACCATCGGACACATCGTCACAATGCCAGAGATTCTGCACAAACATCATTGCCATCTTGGCTTGAAATGGTGGGAGTGGCGAACCTGGTGCGATACTACGGTCCGCCACCACATCAGACATCTTGAGCCGTGGCCAATTCAGAAAAGTGTACATGTACACGTCCATCCATCCATCCATCCATCCATCCATCCATCCATCCATCCATCCATCCTTGTATGCATGCATGCATGTACACATACACTTACATATATACCGATACATATGCAAAAGCATTTGCCCATGTGTGTATCTTGTAAACACGAATTTGGCATACATGCATGCATACACTCATAAGTCTAAGTCCATATTACAAATTACAACCACTAAACTCAAAGCAGGTTTGTCAGAAGCGGGCCTTCAGACGGAGGCAACCCAGGGCCTCTGCTGCGCAGACCCGAAGAAGCGGATCCTCGCGGCCCTTCCTGGGGTTTGGGTTTTCATGATTTCCGCAGCAGGCTCAAGAAGCTTATAGTACAGAATTGGGTCTCACACTTGGTCCAGCAAAGAGAGGTTCGTGCAAAAGCTTGGACGCACCAGGAGCTGGTTGTGAGCCTGGGAGATGCTCTTTCTTATCAAAAGCTTGTGCAGGTCAGCCTTGGGTGCTCAGGAAGTGCAGCATTTACGGCTGGGGCATTCTGCCACAACCAAACAACAAGGCCCGGGTAGTGTGAATTAAAGATGCGAAAATTCAATTCGTCTACAAGAGTTACTGAACTTATCCCTTTGCTTTGCGCTGGCGAAGCAAGCTCTCTCTCTCTCTCTCTCTCGCTCTCTTCTGAAGCTGATTCGGTCGCCTTTCAGCCCAACGGCAGTTCGCACCAGATTCGCGATGTCTGGTTACATGCAGAATCGACCGGAACAACTAACTAGCATAACATCCCTCCCTCTCCCACTGCCGTTGCATGCAGAGGTGTAACATCGAACACTAAATCATGAGCGAGCCATTTTCGAGGCTCGCCGGCCCTCAACCTCCAGCCCCGAAGCGCCAAACCCTGGATTCCCCGGATGCTTTTTCTTGAAAGCCCTGGGAACTTGCAGACCACTCCTTGGCTGCAACCGGGCTGCAAGACCTCTTGCAACACCTCCAGAGCCTCGCTAGTGACCTCCGCGTCGCCTGGGGAGGGTTCGGTTCCGGGCTTAGGAAAAGTGGGTTTAGGGTTTAGGGTGTAGGGTTTAGGGTTTCTGGTCCTAGAGAGAACATGGGCTCTCCTCCTTCTCAAGCTCACTTACATGTGTGGCGCTCTCTCATCAAGTCCCCAGGCTCACCTGTTCGTACAACAAGACAGGGTGAGGCAGAAGTCGATTGTCGAAGGGATGGAAAGAGAAGTAGGTGAGTGTGAAGCTCTCTCTCCCTCCCTCTCTCTGTTGAATCGTGTTCGTCCGTGCGCAAGGGTGTACTGTCGCAGAGGGCAGTTCCTCTTGGCATTCACTCGTCTCGCTAGAGCTTCAACCTCCTTGAAAAGGTGTCTGCTGCACCCAACACCTGAACCCTAGTCTCAATTCTTCAGGGCCCTGCAAGGATCGTCATTATCTGTATCAAGGCCTCCTTTAGGAGGTATCCCTGGAATCCTGAATATTGAGGTCTTCTGGTTGGCATTGTATCTCCCCGCGATTTTCCCTCTCGGGACCTATGAGAACCAGCATGCCGTCCTTCTGCTCACAACCCCGAACTGCAGCCCGAGCCAAGTAAGCTGATCCTTCTTTTGAACCCAGTCTGATCCTTCTTCTGGAAACCGAAAAACTCAGCAAAAGCTGTGAAGGCTAGGGCTCAACTTAACAAGAAGACTCGATAAGGCTGACGCTCCTCTAGCCCTAACCCCAAACCCGCTGTCGGTGCCACCTGCCATATCCAGGCATCTGCCGAGGCCGTGCAAGGCATCTGAAGATTGCTGCAGCCCCGGCTTCCTTCAGTGATTCGTGGATTTGGTGTTCGCAAAGTCCGGGTGGGGTCTCATTGGGTTGACAAGGCATTTTTGCCCGGGGGTCTGGGCTGGGGCGATTCTTGGCTTTCTTCGCTAGTCTTTGGCAGGGGGGCCGGGCTTGTGGCCCATAATGAAATGAAGTGGCGTTCGCAGGAAGTAATTTGCATCAAACACAGATGGGCACCTGTTGAAAATTGCGCCGTCTTGTGTGAGTCCATCTATTTGAAAACTTGGCATCAGTGGGAGCCGAAGGCAGACACAGAGGCGTTGAGGCTGCTACCAGCTCGTTCGGAAACCAGCAGGCTACAGTTGTGCGTGCTGAGCAGGGTTCAGCTAGAATGTGAGTAAACCTCCTAGCCCGCACTCGCAACTGCAACTGGCCCCCAACAAACTTCTGGCTTGCGAGGTTCTGCAACAAGAACGGCACAGCCCCAGGACCCAACATGTCGAGGACATGCATCACCTGAGCTCCCAGGTTGCAAATGCCCTTACAGGCTAGCGGCTTTACGATGTTGTTTGAAAGCTGGAAGAGAAACGTTTCTGGCGGGAAACGGTGGCTCGGGGTCCCGGAAGGCACGAGTTGAACACGGTAGAGACATAGGGGGGACACAAGTGGATTCTGTAGTCCCTCAACCCTTAACCCAAGACGTGCCTAAACGGCAGAATAAAGCCTAGGCAGACTTTAAACTGCGGACGCCTATTAAGCTTAGCTTCCGAGACCCAGACCCAGAAGACCAAACCCGTCAACATCATCTGAACGCTCATCTCCAGAATCCTGAACTACACGCCCACCCGCATGAATCCTTGAACAGCACGCGCCAAAACTGAACCGTCTATGTTCTCTGGCGCTTCAATATTGACTGGCCGTCCACTTCCGCCTCCTTGCGAAGCTGCTAAAAACTGATGTGGAAACACGAGTGAAACGATAACCCGAATTTTCCTGAGCCATGGATGCCTGAACCTCCGAAACCCAAATCCCAAAATTCGATGCAGAAGCCCAAAACGCCAGCAACAACGAACCTAATGCCATGAAATTCCCTAACGCTCCAACCCCAAGCCCCGACAGAGAAGCCACAAACTCTCTGGGATCCGGTGACATTCCGGCCCCGAAGTTGGAGGAGCCTCTGCTGCTCGGCTAGATGCTGGGGAGTTCAAGCTTGTTGAAAACGGCTGGTCCTGTTTAGCCAGCAGTAAAAACCAATGATTCAGGATTTTGAGCTTCAGTTTAGCAAGTTTCAAGTTTAAAGCTGAACGTCTTTAACTTAATTGAAAAGAGCTGTAAGTACTAAGAATCGGCACGTGCGAGAGTTTTTCGGAGCAGGGCTTGGGGACACGAAGGTCGGGCCTAGGCTTTTGATTGTAGGTTTGTCAGGCAATAGTGCCTACGTAGGATTAGGAGAGATATATGATCACAGTAACCAGGGATGGAAGCCTCAAGTATTGGACAAGTATAACACAAGTGTGATAGAGTAGTTTCAGGAATGCCTGACCGTGTTTGAGCAGTGTTCACAGACACCAAGAGGCATCAGAAGCTCAAAACAACAAAGCGCCAATGTTCTGCCATCATAATACCTGGCACACAACCAGATTTTTACATCTGCGTCCGTAAGTTGAGCGGTACTGACGTGTTTCTGTTGGCTGTGCGGAATTGTGCTGTCGTATAGGGCTTTAGGCTGCGATTGGTTGAGCCTCTTTGAGGAAGGCTTCGGGGTGTATGCGGCTTCGGGCTTGGGGTTCCTGGTTGCATTCGCGGAGAAGGGCGGAGGCTGCAGGCATCCATAAACCCTATGAGCCCTTTTTACTCCAAACCCTACCATAAAGCCTAAACCCCTGTTGAATCTGGACCGCTCAATGCGCCAGCAGCGTCTCCAATAAACCCCAAACCTCGAGACATTAAACCTAAATCCAGCCGACACTAAACCCAAACTCAAAGCCCTAAACCCTAAACATCCCTAAACCCTGAAGCCCAATCTCCTGAACCGCAAGACTGCTGCCGTGCCAAGCAACTGGTCTAAGGCAGCCACGGCCTTCTCAATCACTGGCAGTCGGCCCTTGCCTAGGGAAAATTTGCAAGATCAGTTTCAAGTCGCTCCTTGATCCTTGTTTTCCTAAGGGTTAAGGCTAGATAATGCACGGCGTCCTGTGTTGCATGGCTAGGTCGGAACCACCGGGAACTAGCTGAACCGTAAGAAAAACGCGCACTATCCCAAGGTCTCTCGGAAAATGCTCGACATGACGCCTAAACTTCTGAAGTCACTAAACTCGGCCCTTACCACGCCCCAACAACCTGCCAAAATGAGCCCACGTCTGCTAACATGCCTGGCCACACAGCCTCGCCAACTGCCATGCCGCAGCCACGCGCTGTGGATCTAAGGCATCCTGCACTACTTCTTACTACTACTACTACTACTACTACTACTACTAATAATAATAGCAATAATAATAATCCTAATAATTACTAGTACTACTATACCCAGCCACTATCATCCTGGCCATCAGAGAGCTGTTAATCTCCACCACGGCCCGTCAAAAACCAACACCTACCCCCCACCACTGGATGTCCTGCCCGCGTCCTTGAATCAGTTCCGTCAGCCGCGCCTGCCCAACCAGAGAAACCAAGCCGTTCGCGGCTTTCCGTTGGAACTTCTACTACTGTCAGTGAACGGCCACCACTTCAGCTGCTGACAAGCGCATTTGGTAGCCTTCCGAAACCTCAGAAGTTAGTCAAAGTCCTTAACTCCTGAACCTCAAACCCTGAGTGTGACAAGGGCCCGTAATCAGCACATTCCCAGGCAAAGCTCTCAAACCCATCTTCCACGAAGCAAACTAATTCAAAAAAGATACATGCCTTACACGGAACCCCAAAATACTTCGAACGGACCTTGAAGCCAACAGGAATCCCTGAATTTGGCCCTTAGCTTCATTCGACAGCCTACAGGGCTTACAGGCACCTGCACAACGGCTCTTCTACGGCTTCCGAAGTCTTCGGTGTTCCAAACCTTCAGCCCAAGAAGGAACTTCCTACTCGCTATAATATAATAGACTTACAATCAGGAACCCTAAGGCGTAGTATAAGTGAGCCTTGGGGCATTGATTTCAAGCCCCAAGACGACAATTCCAAGCCTAAACTGGTTTAGAAATCCTGTGGCTGAAGAGGCCTTTCCGGCATGGGATGGTTGGGGGGTCTTGTAATCAGCATAGGCATAGTATGCTGTAGTTTCTGATGGAGGATCCTGTTCGTAATGTTTCCGATCCCTGGAGTAGTATGATATGTCAAAGTTCTGGCACAGCCCCGCGTCTAGGAATGCCTCCACACGGCACTAGTAGGGCGCCTGAATGAGCACAGATTCCCTTACTTTCCTAAAGCAAAAACGAAGCAAAAGCAAATTCGCCTTCCAAATAGGGGCGTTGCGGTTCCGGGAAGATCTCCGGTCTCTGAACTTAGGATGAAACCTTTTCTCTGAGCTCTTTATCGTTCTGCGGCCACCCGGGCCTTCACGGCTTCGGCTGCTTCAGGAACCACCTGGAAAAGGCCATTGGAGAAGAAGCAAAGAAGCCTCGAAAGTGGCTCTCGACCCTGACAGCTCTGAGACCCAAAGCCTCCCTGGGCCAATCTCGGATCGCCCAAGCCTGACATCCTACATCCAAACCCCGCCGGAGACTCGAAGCCCCGTCACACATAAGAACAACGTTTCCGAGCCTCTGGTCCAAGCCCCAGGGCGTGAATCACGAACTGGAGCCCATCGCCCTGAGAAACCTCTACTTTGACTGCAGGAGAAAACCCCTTTGGGCAGCTACACCATCCGCTTCACATCCACATATTCCCCGTTCTCGAAGGCAAACACAAGGCCTGAATCGAAACAGCCCAACGCACAAGCCCTTCCATGGCGTAAGTACCCAAAGGCTGATCCGGCCAGACTAGGCTCTGAAACTCAAACCCTCCAAGGCCAAAGAACTGCAAATCCTACACCCCTGGACACCCTATAGTAGACCCATATAGACCCATGAACCCTAAGCCTCGACACCCTAAACCCTAAACCCAAATGCCGAGCCTCGCTGCCAGCAGCATGCAACCAATCCCAAATGCCCTGCCAGACCGGCCTTAGATAATGCAGGGGTTTTGACATCAGAACAGGGCCTGGCGTTTGGGGGGGCTGTGGTGTAGGGCAGGGGCTGTCAGGGGATACGACTGGCCCGGGTAGTAAGGTTCATGCTTAGAGTCTCGGGTGCGGGTCTGGGGGTGCCCAATATCGAAGCCTGAATAATTACTCAGATTAATCCTTAGGGTTCCCCATATAGTTAACCTGCAGTAGCCCTCCGACACCCTGTCTATAGAAGTGTTGAGCCCCCTTATAGTAGCGTCCTAAGGGTCTTGAGGGTGCTTGATGCACGCCCGTGGAGCTGGTAATTTAGCTTCCGGGTTAGGGGATTTGGAATTGCGGTTTTAGGGGTGCTCGCCTTAATCCCAAATAGCCCATATTATGAGGATGTACAGTATATGGAGAAACCATAACAAGGAACCCCAGCAAGGTAGGTTTTCGGGGCTACAGGCAGCTCCTACACAGGAGCCTGCCATCGGCAGCGAGACCCTTCCCTCTTTGATCTCTGTCCAAAGGCATACCGGGCCTCCTCTTGCGCTGCCTTTGTAGGCGCTCCCTAGATTTGTGCCATTCATCAGTGGGGTCGGCTCAGAGTTTCGGTTCTTTGGTTTAGACTGTCAGGTTCTGAGGCTTCGGAGCTGTCTGGGGCTCAAAGGACTGGACTTCGGTGCTTCCTTTGCAATTCAAGGCTTTACCCGGTTTCCGCGTAAACTGCTCAGATTTTCCTGGCGGCCGCCTCCTAAGCTTCCTTTGCAATTAACCTGTCAATTCTTTCCTGACAGGTCTTACTCAGTTTCCTCTGATCTCTTCTTTCTGTGCGGCTCGAACACCTGAAGGAACCGTGACAGAGCATCCTTCGTGAAGATCGAAGATTCACTGGGTTGGAGGTATGATTCACAAGTCGTAGCAAGTTGGTCTACAAATGGGGCCAGGCTTTGATGGCTTTCTCTGCGTGTTTGGCCTTCGGCTGTCTTGGCTTGTACTGCCGGAGGGTGGCCCGAGCCTTAATCCCAAGCCTTGATCCTTAAACCCACAACCCACCCTAAGCCCTAAACGGCTGTGACCAAGGGGCTGCATGCGAGCGGGCTCATCGATGCCGTCCTTCGTGCGAGTGAAAAGCTTCGGGGTTGTCGTTGCTTTTTGGTAATTATGTGCTGCTAGGACTACTACTACTACTACTACTACTACTACTACTACTACTACTACTACTCTACTACTACTACCAGTACGACCACTACTACTACTACTACTCCTCCTCCTGCTGCTGCTGCTGCTACTACTACTACTACTACT